CCCCCCCCCCCAACACTTCTGAAAGAAGTCCATGAACAAAATGCATAAATTCTTTAACACAAGCATCTGAATACTTGAGGCCCATATAAATGAGACCTTACTTCTAGGAACATACATTTTGGCGCCATCAGCTAAAAATGTAATAAATTTGCATTCTCAAAGCCCAGGTGATTGATTACTAACAAAAAAGAAAATAGCATGAAGCTATAGCAGGACGCAAAAGGACATTTCCCAAAAACATCAAATATGACGCAAAGACTATCTGTAAATACAAAGGCAATAGAAAGTGAATACTAGTGTTGGGCGGCACAGCAAAAACCCAGTGTCGGTACTGGGAGTGACGTCACAGACTGTGCGTATCTCGCCTCCCGTCTAATACCACGATAAGAGCCGCCCCCCAAATACAGAATTGGAGAGGAGAAACGTCAGGCAAAATACCTTTGACGTTCGGCGCCGCACGCGACTAAACTCAAAATATTCAAAGAGGCTCGCGTGGAACCTGATTTGATGCTATAAAATGTTGGCAAACTTTGTTTTTGATTGCTAATTTTGAACCTCAAGTCATGTATCAAGGTCACAAGCTGCGTTGTGCATCTGGTGTCACAGCTGCTAGGCCTACACACTTCCCAGGGCCAAGTAAAAAAACTATTGGTGTCAACTCCTTCCCAGAGTCGGTACTGGAGGCCGCCATGTGACAGTACTGAACCTCCTCCGGTAGAACCGGTACCTGACTATCCCTAGTGAATACCCCCCCCCCCCCACAAACACAGATGGCATAATTCACACGCCCCTAAAGCAACAACAACAATTAACCAGAAGAGGTACGGGCTTATTTTAACAGACTTGTTCAACATATACTAAGGCCTAAATCCCATTCGTTCTCTCTCTTTCTTAATTTATTTACAAAAACATCTTTAAATTTTAAAACGCAAATACAAAAATCCCAAAACGTACAGCTATAAATTCTATTTGCTTGGCAACAGTAGAACAAGCCAACTACGAAACAATGAACGAATGTCCCCACCATAATAACAACCAAAATGCAGAGTGCATAGAGGCCGGAATAGTGATGGGAGGACAATGTAGCAAGATTAAAAATTGAACTGAATCAATGGAGGACCCAGCACAGAGTGTTACTTGCAATGTTTCCACCAGCAGTTG